GTGTGTGTGTGTGTGTGTGTGTGTGTGTGTGGCTGCATTTCCAACGTAAGCCTTCTGTGGTCGGTGTTGATGTCTCGCACATTTTAGTCATGGGTGCACATCAACATGGGTCACTGTTTCCTCACACTTCTTATCTCTCCCAATTCCTCTGGAAGCAATAATAGATTCTTCCAGCGTCTAGCTTGGCTCTAAAGGAATTACTTCTGTCCACCTGTGTTTAGTTTCTGCAAGCCCATTTCTTAGCCTAAAATTGGGGATAATGATACAATTGATCCTCTATGTTAAAATCAAAAGCTATACACAGATGAAAATCCATAGTATAAAACCAAGAGAGCAAAACAATGTAAAAGTCCGGGAAGAAATGAGGAAATCCGAAAACTATGTAGCAGGGAAATGAAAATCCTACTTTCGATCATTATTCCTTCATCTCCAGTGCGTACTTACGAAACTTTTAATTCACCCAGCAGTCTTGAATGGCACTGTTTCCTCCGTGAAATGCCGTGCTGTATACGTAAGTACCTGCAGAGAGAGAAAGGTGAAGATCCAGCAAATGGCTTCCAAGTCTCACGGATCTTGTACACCAGACGGGTCTCCGGATCTCGCATTCACGCTTTTCCTCGTTTCCTTTTCTAATTAATCCAAACCCCTCATTCGTGCCCATCATGTCTTCCTGACAATGAATGAAAGTAAAACGCCATTTCATGTTTGAAACGACGGGTAATATCGGGGACAGAAAGAGGACTGGGTAGAGGGAAGAGAGCGCCTCCTTAATTATGTCTATGGAAATGTCCCAAGGTTCAGCAAGCTTCGCTGGATTTGGACGCGGGACGGCCAGGCCTGCTGCAGCCAAGGCTCTGCGCACGGTGATGAGCGGCTCTGGCAAAGGTATGTGTTACAGCTGAGCCAGTGGCTGGCTCCATGGACGCTCCTCTGCGGCTCACCCTGAGAGTTGAGATAGAAACAAGAGCTTTCAGCTTGCTAAGGCTCCGATGACCCATCTAATTATGGCCCTGGGGAGCAGATGCACAGGGCCGAGTCGCACAGTCCGCGGTCACCAAGTGCACAATCCCTTTGTCGGAAGTGTGCAGGAGCTGGAGACCTTTGCCTTGTCACAGAGGTTGGGCGGGAGGCATAGTGAGGCGCTGCTGGGTGTGACAGGCAGAGGAGAGGGCGCTGCTCCGAAGGACTCTCCTGTGCAGAGCGCAGATCCCAAACACGGGGTTACCTAGCACGAAGAGCCAGTGGCTCTGAGACTGAGAGGCTGTGGACTAGAATAAGCTCACAAGTGCCGGGGAGTCTGACTCCTCACTACTGCGGAGGCCAGAAACTGTCCTCTCCTGTTCACAGCTCTAATATGTGAATTGGCCAGCTAGAATTAACCTAATAAAACTTTCATGCTGGAGCCACAGAGGACAAAATGATGGCAGATGTGCATCGCATTTATTGTCATGTGTTACAAGGAGATAGCAATAAAGAAAACATAAAAAGAGTTCTATGGAGAAATAAGTTTTTCATAATGGAAATAGAGAGTCACTATGGTAAATACACTGTGTATCGTGATCTTCAATGAATATATTTTTGATTGTAATTCTATTTCTAAACTCATCTCCTAGTAATACTGTAGCTCTTGTGGTATAAAACATTTTCATTATTAACAAAGTATCTCACACTCAGTATAACTGAGAAGAATTTCTTCCTCTTTCATAATATATTGGTCCTTTTTATATGTTCAGTTTCCCACCCCAGAGAGACAGTGAGATATTTACACACATGTGTTGAATTTATTTCACTCAAGGGTGTGGTGTCAAGGTGTGTTCATTTACCTAGAAATGCCTCACGTTTATCTTTCTTTATTCCATTGTACTAAAAGATACACATCTTTTTTATCCATTCATCGGGTGATGGGCATTTGAGCTGTTTCCAAGATTTAGCTAAGTATAAAACTCTGCCATTACAAACCTGAGTGCTGGCTGGGCGTGGTCGTGCACGCCTGTAATCCCAGCACTGGGTGGCTGAGGCAGGAGGAGCACGGTGAGTTCGAGACCAGCCTGGGCATTATAGTGAGTTCCGGGTAAGTCTCAACTACATAGTGAGACCCTGTCTCAAGAAACCAAAATAAATAAATAAAATATAAAAAATAAGTAAACATGAGTGCTCCTATGTTGGTGTAGTTTGACGCTTTTAATGTTTTGGGATGATACCCAGGAGGGGTATGTCCAGGTCAAGGGGACTTCTAATCCTGGTTTATAGGAAACTCCACCTGGATTTCCATAGTGGTTGCTTCAGTCCGCGTTCCCACCAGCAGTGGAGAAGGGGCCCTTCTTTATGCACAGCCCCACCAGCCTTTTTTATTTGTTCACTTATTGGTCATAGCCATTCTTTGTGTAGTGAGCATATTGCGGAGGGAATTGGCAAGTGACGCACACAGAGACAAGCTGAGTGGAAGTAAAAGAGTAAGACGTTTATTCCGTCAACAAAAGCTCAGTTGCACTAAGAGCAGTGCCAGTGATCGACGCCCTGTGGCCTTGCAGCTCCGTCCTCTACAGGTTTTACAGGTGTGACCTCATTCAGTCAGTTACATTTCATCTCCGCAGTTCACATCACCCATCTACAAATCACAGTAAGAAGACAGTTAACTCTAACGCAGCGGTAACAGTTCCTTGTCGTCAGGAGTCCACCTGAAGATTCGTCTCACTATCTATTCTGGTGCACAGGAAGCGGGTGTCAAGGTCAGGGATGAGGCGTCCCATTTCACGGTCACTGCCTGCAATGTCTGTTAATTTTGAACTAAACTAAGCAGACTGCCGATAGAGACAGCAGAAGTCATTTTGCATTTTCCTAACATTTTGTAGGTTTTTAGATTATTTACAAAAGTTCTCTGTATCAAGATGGAATCACAGCTTTATTTTAATTTGCATCTCGAATGACCAGTTTTATCGAACATTTTCTCACGTATTTATTTGCCATTTTTATTTCTTCATCTACGAAAGTGTATCCATCTCACGTGTCCATTTTTGTATTGGATGTTTGAATTTGAGGGGTCTTCATATTTTCTAGATATTAGTTCTTGTCTGAGGAATCACTGGCTACATTTTTTCCCACTCTGGTGGTTTTCGTCCCACTGCATTGGTGAGTATTTTTGCTGTGCAAAAACTTTTTCATAAGATGAGATCCCAGTTGATGATTCTTTGTAGCACTTCCTGTGCTATCTGGAGTTTGTTCGTGAAGATTTTGCCTACACTCATGTCCTCAAACATTGTACCCATTTTCTCTTCCAGCATCTCTAGTATTTATGTTTTATTATTTAGATACTTGATGTATTTTCATTTTATTTTGTGCTTGGTGGGAGACATGGGTCTAGCATTAGCATTTAGCAGGTACAAAGCCAGTTTTTTCAGCATCATATATTAAAGAGGCTATCTTTCTTTCAGTGAACATATTTAGCTCTTTTGTCAAAGATAAGGTGGCTGAGTGTGTTTGGAGTGGTTTCTGCATCGTTTAATCTATTCCACTGATCCTCAGGTGTGTTTTTTTCCAATACCATGGTGTTCATTTTTTAATCACTGTAGCTCTGTAGTGTAATTTCAGGTCAGGGATTGTGATGCTCTCTGCCTTGCCTTTGTTGCCCAGAATTTCTTTCGCTATTCTAGATCTCTTCTCTTTCCAAGTGAAATGATTTCTCTAGTCCTGTGAGGAAAGCTAATGTTATTTTAATTGGGATCGCATTGAATCTATATAGCAGTTTCGGAAGTATGTTAATTTTCACGATATTGGTTCTTCCTACCTAGAAGCAAGGTATGTTTTCCCATTTTCTGATATCATATTTGATTTCCTATTTCAGAGTACTGTAACTTTCAATGTAGAAACCTATACATCCTTTGTAAGTTTAATTCCTGTGTATTTCATTGTTTGATGAAATTGTAAAAACTGTTTCCCTAATTTCTCTCTCAGTCAATTTGTTATCTTTGTACTGGTATGTTTTTGAATTTTGAGGGTTCACTGTGTATGCAGCTATGCTATTGAATTTGGTTATTGAATATAGGATTCTTTTGGTGGAGTTTTTGGATCTTCTTTGTCAACCATCATGGTACACAGAAATATTGGTAATTTAACTTCTTCCTTTCCTATCTTTATTCCTTTTATTTCTTTCTCTTGAAGATTGCTCTGGTTAATGTTACCAGCAGTATGTTGAGTAGGAGTGGTGATAGTGGACATCATCATCTTGTTCCTGAATTTAGAGTGAAAGCTTTCTTTGTTTGTTCATTTTGTATCATGTTGACTTTTGGTTTATCATAGATGACTTTTATCAGATTGGGGTAAAGACCATCGATTCCAACTTTCTGTAGAGTTTTTTTCTTTTTATTGAGTTTATTGGTACAATCTAGGTATACAGTACAGTTACATTCATCATTGCGATTCTGTACCTTTACATAATAGGTCTTGATTCTCATTTTTCCCCTAGTCCCTGCCCTCCCTTCACCCCCTCCTCCCCTCCCCATTTACAAACACTTTATTTCCATTTTTTCAGTTTCTCATATTTTTTCCTCTCCTTTATTACCTTTCCCCTACCCTTCCCACTTTCCCTACACCTTTAGCCCTTTACTTCCTAGTTCACATTATTAATTATCTCGTTAGGATTCTGCGTACTATTATAGTTTTTCACACCAGAGAAACTATTCGGTATTTCAGTTAAAGAAATCTCTGTATGAACATTAAAAATAGGGAATCCTAAAATAAAACTAAAAAGGAAAGTAAAAGAGAAAAGGCAGTGAGGTAACATTAAAGTAATCCTTAATTTTGGAGATGAAAATGGTCCCTTAACATATTTAAATTGCTTCTTGCTCTTGTAGTCTTATCTTATTCTTTTTTTCGTTATGTAGAGAATACTTTATAAGTTTCTGTAATCAAACCCATGTAGATATGACCTTACATATTTAGTGCAATGCATTACCCCTGTACACATGGAAAAAAATTTAAAAAATTAACATTTCTAGACCAAGATGGCTGTCCATTTCTGTACAATGCCAACTCAACACAGTAAACTGGGATAACTTTTTCCAAAGTTGACAGCACCATTAAAGTTTCCCAAAATTCAATTTATATATATGTATATATATTTATATTTATATAAAAAGAGTAATAATGGCAGTATGCTATGCATCGATAGCAGCAACAGCTTTTCCAGGTTCTGCAGTCTGTAGAGTTTTATCATGAATGGGTGTTGAATTTTGTCGACTGTTTTTTGTAGGTCTATTGAGATGATCATGCCTTTGGCTGTGTTGATATGGTGTATTACATTTATTGATTTGCAGATGTTGAACCATCCCTGCATCCCTGGGAGGAGTTCTACTTGCTCATGGTGTATAATCTTATGATTTGCAATATTCTGTATGCCAGTATCTTATTGAGGACTTTTACATATAAGTTCATCAGAGATATTGACCTGTAGTTCTCTTTTCTGGTTGGATCTTTTTCTGGTTTGGTATTAGGGTTAATTCCTGGTTGCAGGAGGGATTTTGAGAATATTGTATCCCCTTCAATTTCATTGAAGAATGTGAAGAGTACTGGCATTAGATCTTCTCTAAATTTCTTGTATTATTCAACAATGAAACCATCAGGATATGGGCTTTTCTTTGTTGGTAGGTTTTTAATGACACTTTTAATTTCATTGATGGATACTAGGTTACTTTGAATTTTTATATCTTCTTGATTCAGCTTTGGTAATTCATATGCATGTAGGAATCTGTCTATTTCTTCTGTGTTTTCCTACTTATTAGTACAGGTTCTCAAAGTATGTATTGATGATCTTGTGGATTTGTGTGGACATGAAGGCTAGCCAGACACCAGAAATGTAGTTTTGCCGAGGAGTAGAGGGCTGAAGCTCT